CTGCAAAGTGCGTGTATTGATACGGTTGCTCCCGCTCCATTCGGTTCTTTCTTGGAAATGTCTAAAGGTGCAAAAAGAGAGAACCTAGACTTTGAGAGATTTGAGAAAAGCTCGGTATAGCGAGAGATGCGACTCTTTTGCATTAAATAATACTATGGAGTAGCTAACTTAGGCTGCCAAATGCAGATACGAAAGCACACAAGATTGGTGGGACTGTGAACTTAGATCCTTGGACTTGGGAAGTGTTGAGTGGGAAGCGATTTGGTCATAAGATCAACTATTTATTTGAGCTTTACAAGTAGTGAAGCGAACAGCTGGATGGTTGATAGGCAAAGACACGCTCAGCGAGTATATCTGCTTAGAATTTTTTGATCATTTGGATAGCTGGCCTAATTAGAAACCGTGTAACGGATAAGGGAATTTTCTCCACTTAGTGAGATGTTATGTCAAGATGAGAAAAGCCTTTGAGCTATCTTTATATTTGCTTCACGGCTTGCCAACGGATTGTGCTAGTGCATGAATAAATGTACACGCCTTTTCTTTTCAAAAGGAAGCAAAACATTCATTACAAAAGCCAAGTTATTATTATTATTTTTTTGTTTGAACAACTCTCCAAATTTAAACGAAAGTTCAAATCTAGTCTAGTATTAGTGCAACTTTGAAGGGCCCAAATATAGTAAGATTTGCAAGAAAATATCCACGATGAAGAGAATGTTGGGGTCTCAAGCTATTCAGGTGGAAATGTGTTTACTATCATATATGTTAGCTTGACGCAATGGGGCACTAATATTCCTAGCTTGAGACAAGTGCACAAATAGCTATTTGATTTGATTGGCCTCTAGTCCAAGAAAGTATAACAGCAAACTGATAGGCCTTTGAAGTGTACTAAAAGAAACATGTAGGTGGTAGTTGGGGGGATTTAGATTGATGGAAAAATGCTAATTAGCTTTTGTGGGCCAAACTTGTAATTGAGTGGGATGTAGGGTGAGTAAGTAATGTCATAGCTAGAGGAAATATATAAGAGTTAGCATCTTAGAATGGACATGCTTTTGATTCAATAGGATCTGATAGTTAGGAGAGAGAAGGATTCTCTCCTTCATCGTTTGCACCCCTTGCTCGTAAATAGTACCAAGTTCTATCATCTTAATATCATAGCTGATGTAGTCATAGATGTCTTTGTTTGAGTTATAAGGTTGTAAACGTGGCTGTAGGTTATGATCATTTGTATTTTTCCTTTTACTGCACAGTAACTTGAAGTTACTGTTAGTTTGTTATTTCAGAAACCTCTATAAATAGGTTTCTGCTCCTTATTAATAAAGACAGATTACATTCATCTTAAAACCTTGTGCAAGATTGCATTAGTTGGTATCAGAGCACCCGAGATTCTGGGCACTCGATGGTAGGAAAGAAATCAGTAATGGGAGACGTCTCTTCCATGACCACCAAAGAAACGGAGCAATCATCCGTTCTCTCACCACGGGCATTGACCACACGCTTGCAGTTGGTCAAAGGGGACATCAAAAGCTTAAAAAATGATGTGGGTGAGATCAAAGAGATCTTAGGAATGATACACCAACAGTTGGAAACGTTGAGCGTAAACCAA